ATCCATCCATCCATCCATCCATCCATCCATCCTTTTAAATTTGTTCATTTTTAACTAATTCCTTCAATGCAAATATTAACAATCCAGCTAATTCTTCTTTTCTCTCTTCCTACAGGCTCTTGGAAGTATGTACTTTATCCACGATTCGTTGAAAAACATCCGTCAGTTTGATTTCGAAGGTGAGACTTTCCCCCTCCCGCACACATCACCAATCCTTAGAAATGAATCCTCACATCCATCCCATTTACAGGCTATTCTTGCTTCCATCAAAACCAGTGATCTAAGATTGGTTCTGGAGATAAAATGAAGGCAGCAGGATCAGATGGTAATGCTTATTAATATTAGGATTTAATTCATACATTTTCGGGGCTGCCGGTAATGGTGTGCTGCAAGTTATTGGACAGTTACAGCGGTCTCATCAGCCCGCGGTGTCAGAGGGCCCCAGGGTCCGGCGACCGCGCTAATTAAAGAGAGGATATAGATGTGGAAGCGCCTTGCCTCCAATCAGACACCAAATCAGCATTAGCACCAGTGAAGGACAGGGCGACGGCGGGCGGGGGAGGGGTCAGAAGGGGAGATGACCGCTCTGTATGTATGCACACATTTTACTGACAGCAGAAGAAATGGTCGAATCAGAAATGTTATTTTGGCGCAGTAAGCTGCTGCAGGGGATCTGAACTGTTCAGACCGGTTCCAGTAAGAAAGCAGGTGTGAATCATCAAAATATCTCAGATTGAGAGGACAGAAGTTTTTAGATACTGAGCTGAAATCTCATCTCTGTAGACCCGTCAGTTTTAGTTGTAAAACACAGACTGGACCATCACAGCAAAGCTTCATTTCATCCTCTGTGGATGAAAGATCCTTCCTCTTTGAGTTAAGAATGGAATCCCAAAGTATAGTGCTGCCACCACCGTGTTTCACTGCACGTATAGTGTTTTTCTAGTTACAGCTCTAACAAGCTTTCTTCAAACCGTAACACATTTTACTTAAATAAAGGGTTAGACTTTACGCAGGCAGGTATGTTTTTAAAACTCACTCACAATAGCTTTCCACACATCACATGTTTTTTACCTGCTTGTGTTTCTTTCTCCTTTTTTTGGTGTTGGTTTAAGTTTAGGGGATTGACTTTAAATCCCTGCTTCATCATGACTGAACGGCCTTCCTTCCTTCATAGTAAAAGTTGCAAGAAATCTTGTAATCAGCTTAGCTTTGGTAGCAATTGTTGGATGTTCCTCTGGCTGGCCAGTCTAAGATCTGCTGTTTCTTTAAGGCTTCTTGGGTTTTTTTTTTGTTTCTTAAGATTAGGTCGAAAACTAAGAGTGAGAGAATTTCATTTCTAAGTGGATAGATTCAGAAATGTTTGAGTCCGAAAACAAAGCTTCAAAAAGTTTATTTTATTTTGTCTCTCCACCTTTTTTCAGTGTTCATGACTTTCCAGCAGCTGAAGTTTATTTCAGGTTAATCAGATTCAATATAATTGCTGGCAGGTGTGTGAGCTTGAGGCGACTGAACGCAGAGATTGAATCAAAAGGTGATTTCAGGGTTTGCACACTTATGCAACCAGGTTAATCCACTTCTTATGTTTCTCATTTTCTCTCTTGCTTTTTTTAAGTTTACAAGCTCAGTTAAATATGTGGAAAAAAATAAAAGGGTTTAACATTTTAACTCGTTTTAAAATGTACCTTTTTTTATACCTATTGTAAATGATCCTCTATCAGATTAATATAGACAGAGGTGGAAGTACATAAAAATGTACTTCAGTAAGTAAAAGTAGTCATAGAAGAAAGTACTTAAATAAGCATAAAGTATTGGGTAAAAAAGCTACTCAAATACTGAGTAACCGATCTACCGGTACTTATGGCAAATAATCATCACAGATTTAATATTCTAATAATTATGTTGCAAAAAGTTGCAAAAAAAAATATTGAAAAATTATGTTTTTTTTTGTTAAACGGCCATGTAAAAAAAATAAATTATATATATATATATATATATATATATATATATATATATATATATATATATATAACATACAATAGTAAAAACACAATGACAGCTTAGAAAATGAGAATGTTCCGTATTTACGTTAGAATACGGTAAGAAAATATAGTATATTATTTGCTGTACACTCACTTGACCTTCAAACGACATTGCATAATCAGCAGATAGAAATAACAGCCAACCAATGAAGCTTGAGCACAAAAATAAGTCTCACTTTAATATAAACTGTCGTTATGTGTCTCTATGGAGCATTTTTGTTTAAAACAAGCTTGTTTATGTGAAGCTCTGTATGATTGGTAGAGCAGCCAGACGTTTTATTCAAATAAAAGTAGTGAAAGTTTATTATTTTTACTTGAATAAAAGTAAAAAGTACAACGCGATAAAAGTACTCCTTTAAGTATTGTTTATTTTTCCAAACTTTTAATTAAGTAAATATAAATTGTTTCTACCCACCTTTGAATATAGCTTTGCTTTTCCGGATTCAACATTAGAGAAAAGATCAAAAACTCTTTGAGGATGTTCAGGTTCCTGATGTGGCTTTCTATCATGAGCTTTATGATCAAGACTGAAGTTTTATTTAGGTTTTTTGATGACATTTTTTACATTATCAGTGACAAAAGGTGAATATTAAGCAGTAATAATACAGGGGTTGTATTATGAATTCTTTACCTGATGTTCTTCAGTCTGACCAGCAGGTGGTGCAGTTGCCACTTCAGCAGCATGAGCAGTTAGAAGATCCAGAGTCTCTCATGGAGTCTCCAAATATGAATCAATCTAGTTTTATGACTTTTCTCTCCTTTTTTTCCATTTCACCTCTTCTTCCTTCTGTCCTTGTCCGTCTTCCTCTGTCTCCTCCTTTTCTTTTTTTCCAGCCAAACAATTTCGGAAGTTAACTGGGAGGGAAATCTGCGCAGAGAAACTACACAGCTCACCCATGGTGGAGAGGGAGAAGTTTCCAAAGGATTACTATCCAGGGGTGAGTTCTGGAAGAAATAAAGTTTAGTGATGGACTGATGAGGGCTAACGTCATCATTTGGACATATTACAGAAGACTGAACGCATAAATCTTAGCAACATTTTTACCTAAAATATTTTTCAAATTCCATATGGATTCCACCTTTTTATATCATTTTGCATGTTACAAATAGTGGTTGTGTATCATTTGAAAGGGGAAAGCCTGCAGATATTACTATAGCTTTAAAAAGAAAACATAAAAAGCAAAGGTGCGCTTTGGTTCCCTGTTAACTCCACTATGTTGGGTTTGCCTCTTCCGTAGACGGCGAGCTGAGCGCCGCACTGCTGATATAGTAATAAAGAGCACGGCTGCCCGCGTGTCATCCCTGCACTCCCCGCTCATCCGTCAGCCATGCTCCGACGGCCGCCTCCGCGAATATATGCAAAGCAGATGGATACGGCCCCTTCACACACTTCCCCTCCATTTCCGTCTCTTTCACACACTTCAGGTCCCCCAAAAAACACACACACGCTCCCCCACCACATCATTGTATATCCTTTCCCACTCCAGAGATCCACATCAAGGTCTCCTGTTACAGGGATGATCTGATAACAATTAAGGACAGAAAGTGTTGTAATGCTCTGGATTAAAGATGGGGAGCAGAGAAGGCCAGGAAAACAGCGCGAGAAGGATGAGAGGAGTGATGGAGTGAGAATGGAGGCGTGTGTGGGCCGAGCAGATGAGAAAAGTTTTGGCCCGTGATAGATGCCTCTTCCGCAGCCAGGGTATGAATCTGGGATGATGCTCCAGAGAGCACCACTCCACATAATGTTAGCCCATTTAAAAAGAGCAGATTTGTGTAGTCTATCAGGGTTGCAGAGTATTTTCCCCCCCTCCTGCCTCCCTCCCTCCCTCCTCCTGCGACCCCTTCGTAGTGAGAAATTGGTTGTTATCATAGATCACAGATACTGCTCAAACCTCTTATGAAAGATGAATTAATTTCACTAATGCTTTAATGCAAAGCTCTCATGAGGGAGGCAGACTGGTGATAACCCCTGCCTCGTCCCCGCTTCCTCCACCAGTGATTTATGCCCTCTTTTAGTAGATGAAACTGCCTAGATTTGCCATCCATCTGCAGCTTTGAGGAATCCCATTACTCCGGAGGAGGGCTGGGGGGGCCCTTGGATCAGAGGGGACGCCATGCGGAGTCCCGAACAGAGTCGCTCATTTAGTTCTGGGACATTTTAAGATTTGAGGGGCAACTTTTGCGACAGATGTTAACGGTTTATCAAAAAGCTAATTTCTACATTCAGAGCCTCTCAGGTGGTTCATCTGAGGAGGATAATATGATTACAGCTCAGGTTGATGTGTGTTTATGTCTCACATTTAGAATAAAGTCACAATCTGAGTAAAAAAATGCCACAGAGGAGAAGATTTTAACCATAACGTTATTGGAAACGAAGAATCTCCCAGAAACAAGAATAAGTGATCAGAGTAGAACAATTCAGTTCAGCTGTGACTTCTCTAAAGGGCCCCCAATCTACGCTGGGAATTTTCCATTTATGATATGTTTCACAATTAAATGAATAGTTTCATAGATTTATAGCACAGAATTGCCAAATTCTTTAAAAAAGGTGGAATAGCATCTATCTGTGGCAGTGTATTACACGCTAATTTTTCCTTTTTTTCTGTTTTCACCCATACAAGAAAAATATAAAGCATGATCTGTATGGTGTGAGAAACTTCAATAAGAATGTAAAAATGTTTTTTACAAAATGCTCTAATTAGAGAAGCAGCATTATTCCCACAGCTCTAATAACCACAAAATCATGTAGAATATATGTAATAGTCTTAGAATTATCATTTATTATCAGGTTCATGACACATTCAGCATATATCGTGAGAAAAAAACACAACAATTTAATAAGAAGAAATTAAAGATGAGATTGTATAGTTATTTAAAAATGCTTCCTTCCTTATATATATACATTATAAAACATTCTCTGTGGAAATTCATTTTTAAAGATCCTCTTGGGCTATCTGCCTTTATTTGACATTAATATGACAGGAAGGAGTGTAGAAAGACAAGGAAAGGTGTCCAGTAAAGACCTAATGGTCGATAGTGAAACTCGTTACCCAGACAGGTTCACCTGATCCAGGCTTTAGCCCCAAACCTTCAAACCATCTCTAAGCAGTATTCAGCAGTTCAGGTTTGATCAATTAATTTATCTAAACAAGCTTTATTCTAAGGTATTCCTGTCGCCAAGAAATTACTGCGTTTATTCTTTCCACATGGTCAGTAACAAGTTAACGAATCCCTGCCTGTGAAAAGGATCCAGTTCATATTTAATCCAATGAAGTGTTTTAGTGGTTACTAACTGAGAGCATTAAAAGGAGCTCTATCTTATTAAACCTGTAAAACAGTATTATTACTACCCTTTGGTGTGGTGATAATACCAGATACCAACCTCCACACACGCCTTTATGCACTAATAATATCTGACTAATAATAATCACTCACTAATAAAACTCTTAGGGTTTCGCACAAACAAAACAATTACACTATATATATATATATATATATATATATATAACACTATAACTTTCAGAAAACTGAGTTTTCAGTGTGCAGCTTTAGGTTTGGAAGAAGTTTGATGTTCACTTACAGATGAAATCCAGGTGTGATATCTTTTACCTTTTATTAAAATATAACGAAGTAGTTTTAACAACCCACAGCTATCAAAGCATTAAGTTTTTTACATTTTATATTGAATTTGATTTGCGTGAAAATCATGATTAGGTTGTGAAACATGAAAAGCTTGTGAAGAACAGGCACATTTTTTCAAGTTTCACTTTGATTGAAGCGACAATCCTTCTATTTGCTAACCGTCTGTGTTTTCCGTAACATGTCCATGAGCTATAGCTGTAAGTCAACAGGAGAAGAAAAACGAGGAAGTTTATTGAAATGCTGAATAAGAAGAAAGTGGCCAAAATCATGGGTCGCATTTCTTTTGAAATGCCACAGTGATGGATTTTGGCGGCTTGTCGTTTACCGTTGTTCCGTCAATCTCTCCACCTTCCCCCCCGTGGGAATGAATGAATGCATTTATTCCTCTGGCGCTGTTGCCGTTCGTGCGTCCAAAAGCCATTGCATCATAAGGATTTGTCATTGCCTAATATAAATAAAGTATACGACCCAGACCTTAATGTGCCCTTGGTATTGATTGTTTTACACAAGCGTTGGAGGGGGGAAAAAATAAGTGAGAGAAAGGAAGAAATGAACAGACAGGCTGTAGATCAACATCCATATGAGTTTGTTGTTTGGCACCATCATCGCGCCCATAAAAGCCCCAACTCTTCATACCCTTTTAGTGCCCCCTGTAGTAAGCTTCTGTTTCACCACTGATTACTTTAAAGTTCAGACCTCGATGGAAGTTAACTTCCCTCGTCTCTTTCCCCTCCGCCGCCTTTACGGCGCTTGTGATTCATGTATACGTTAAGGAGATGAAGTCATTTAAACCGGCGTTACTTGTAAAACGCTCCCTGCATTTATCACCTGACAAGACACCTGTGACACGGATGCCGTCCCCCGTGACAGTCTTGATCCATGAGACGGTGAGGAGTTCTGAGATGAGGGGCTAATGTTGAGATGAAGGCTTGCAGAGCTCATTTTCCCAAGTAGAAGCGCAGTAAACTCTGCTGCAGGAGTACCTTTGCGGCTGTAAACCCTGCAGAAGCCCTACTGTTATTTAGTGGGTCCCTTTGCAGGATGATGGAACAAGGATAGATGTGGCCGTCTACTGGGGCTCACATCACTCACTGTTTGTGTGTATTATTATTATTGCTCACTGTGCGTTTCTACCCTGAACTCTTCCAGCACCACTAAAACACCCTTTTCTGAACATCATGCTGCCATAATATTATTTATGGGGGTCAAGCTTTCAGCTGGAATGTACAAAAGGTCAAAGAATCAAAGGAGATGGACCAGGAAATAGTCATAGGAGGGTGCTGTGGGGCTCGGAGCTCTGATGATGGATCCTGACATTTGGATTTTTTTTCCTGTCGTCACAGCTGTGTAGGTTTCCAGTCATGGCTGAAAAGGAAGTGGTCTGATTCCAGCGTTGTAAAACAGGAAGTGCTTACAGAGATCGTGCAGACATCCCAGCACAGTGCAGCCTGAAGTTTTAGGTCTGGACATTTTGCTGTGATGCTCCTTGAGGGTTTTCTGCTGCCGTGTTTGGAGGTTTTGTTCAGTCGGACCAATGTTTCATATTTGACCCTCGAATACTTTGGTGTCCTGAAAAGTTTGTCAGTCGAAAGGCGGGAAGGTGCCCCAATCCTGTGGCTGCAGTCGAAACATCAGTGTGAAAGCTGGCACAAGGTGTCTGTGCCCATATTCTGTTTGGTTTTCTCCCTTTCTGTCCTGAAGACGTTGTTTCAGAAGCTGCTAATTTTTTCTTAATGAAAATAGGCTTTTCCTTTTAATTCTTTCCACTAACTGGGCCATTTTCTGATTTGACTTTGGGCCCTTTAACATGCTAACTGAGGCCTTTAGAGTCTGATTGTCTGTTGTAGCTGAAGATTGGACACTCAGACTTCAGATGGCTTTTCAGGGGTGAACAGTCCTTATTGACGTATGTTGATAAATTTGACATCATTTGGATATGTTTAATTCTCGCTGTCATTATTCTGCTTTTTTTTGTCAAACCCAGTGATTCCCCCATCCTTAAATACAATTTTTCCTCCATCTCTGACCCTCTGCGTTGGTCCGTGCTATAGGTCAATCGGTGTATCGCCCAACAGGCATGGATGCAACCCGCTCTGCAGCCGCCGTTCATCACTGTCGCGGGCGGAGACGCCATCACTGACCTGTGGAAGCTGAGCCAATGTCACCCTGAGCCTCGTGGCCTTCCTGCTGCCCCTCACTCCCACTCATCAAACCCCACCCCCCACAGCCAGTCATGACATTATCGTTTGGACCCAACGTCTTTCTTTCGGTTTATTCTTTTACTGTTTAAACTCCGCATTTCTGATTATCCTTTTCTCTTGGTTCTGAGGTCCATGTAGTCGCTCTTTAAATGTCAGCTGATCATGATTTCCTCCTGACAGTTTTCTTTAGGCGATCTGCTTGAATGTTGGAGATAATCACCCAAACTCAGAATAAAATTGGTTTCCTTAGAGCAATAAACGAGTGAAGGCTGCCTTTCTACAATAATGTGTGTGACAAACGTATGGCTTTGTGTGCTTAACCAGAGCGTGTTGTGTGCGCGCCCGTGTTTGTGAGGAGCAGGAGGTCAATCAGTCATATGTGCAGGAAATGGGGTAATCTGGGGCCAGGTGTCAGGAAAGTGATGGATTTTAATGCTGTGATCGTAGTTAATGGCTCTTTAAATTAAATCGAGATTAATCGTCTCTGGCGGCAGTCAGATCTCGTACGGGTACTGAGCAAATCCACCGCCCCCCTCTGAAAACCACCAACCCTAACCTTCATCTTCCACATCCTCATCCTCTCATACAGTGAAGACCTTCCTTCCACAACTTTTAAACTGAATGATTTTTCCTCCTGCGAACATATAGTCCATTGTTTATAGTTACTCAGCCGTTATTGTGCTTGTTTTATTCACTTCCAGTGTTTGTAAGGTCAGTCTGTTTTTCCAGCAGGGTGAACCTCATATCTAATTCCATTTGCTCTTTTCAAAATCACAACATTGGACGAGCGAGTTATAATTGGGCCCATGCATCCTGCAAAGGCAGTATGGATTAATTCAAGTATGCTAATGTAATTCAATTTGATACAGTTAATCTTGTACTAATGCAGATTGAAGGATGCGAGGCGCAATCAAATACCTCTTAGCCCTTTAATTTGCATCTGGGTTTTTTAAATAAAATTAGTCAATTTGTAATTATGCGACCTGGCCCATAATTAGTTTATTTATCACCGCAGTTAACTCCAATAGCGAGAGAGAGAGCGAGATTGACTGGAAAATAAAGAAATAGGTTGTGGAAAATGGACTTATTTATCTTATCCAAAATGAGAACACTCACAACATCAATTTGTCTCTCATTTAATAACCAGCTTCTTGGTGAATCATGCGCTATATGATCATGTGCTGTTGGAGGAAGGAGCTGCTGGTTTGATCAGATCTCTCCAAGACAATTCCAGTCAGATCTGATGCAAACAGGATCACTCTGATAACAGTCTCTACTATCAGCTCAGCCTGTTTTAAGCCATGTTGCATTTTTAATAAAAAAAATAAACAGAATAAAACTCTTATAGAAGGAGGTGAATCCAATAAATCAGAATACTATAAACAAGTTAATGCAATTCACTAATGTAATTGAAAAACTGAAACTTCTTCGTCGTATAGATTCTTTACACCTTAATTTACTTTAAGGGTTTATTTCTGTTAATTTGTTAATTTTGTTTTACACCCGATTAAATCTTTATAATAAAATTAAACATTACATAAGAACTATATACATCTAAGTTACATTTAAAACAGAAATAGAAGCTGGCTGCTCAGAGGGCTGTATCCAAGCATATTAGCAGAAAGTTCAGTGGAAGGAAAAGGTGAAACCATTGGTTTTCCTTGTTTTAAGGAGAAACCCCCAAACAAACAGTACTGAACATCGTTATAGCAACCAAGCTTTTTCAAAAGGTGGCCGACAAAGTTTGGAGTGTTTTTATAAACTTTACATCAAATATAGTACCGTATTTTTGTTGTTGCTACAACCGTCTCTTTAAAAAAAAAAGAAGCACTTTTTAATTAGTCTGACATGGAATTATTTTTCATTTATTACAAGTTTCATTTTTTTGAATAAAATAACTAAACTATATTTTTAGTAATAAAATATAATATATATTATATAATATATTTAATATAATATATTTTTTCCCATTTTGCTCTAATGATCACCTATGTCTAATACAAAGACCTTTATTTTGTAGCATACTGTATGTGTTATTTAGAGGAATAGTACTCATTTAATCATTTCATTTAAAAGTGTTAATAGTTGTAACTTTATGCTTGTAAGGAGTCTTAAAAGTTCGGCTCTCTGATTAACGAGATTGATATAGTTTAAGAAAAGCATCTCTGCATGTTTAAAAATGTGAAACTTTGAAATACTTTTATTTTCTTAATGCACACAACAATGTAAGATAGACCTTATAAGTTTTAATCCAAAGTGTGCAAACATTTTATAAAAGAACTAAGCATCTCTACCATAAGATTTTTGTTGCTATTAACAAGCTTTTAGTGTTATCCTTGCTATATATTTGTCCTTTCTTCTTGACAGGGTTGGAAGATTTTAGGTCAATATTGGCAGCAAAAACGGCTTTTATATATGAAATAATAATTAATTAAATAATAGTATAATAATAACCATTAAATAATTGCCTGTTTGGAAAACCAACCTATGTCCAGTTGTCAACTGTCTGACCAAAATAGTAAAAATGCACCTGGAGCCACTTAGCCCTGCTTCAGAATGCTTTCTGGTCAGACGAGACTGTGGCTGAACTGTTTGGCCAAATTGACAACAAATCTGCTCACGTTATGCTTAAAGAAAAAAATCAGCACTGCCATCTCTCATGCATGGTAGTGGTAGAATCATGCAGTGGGAGTGTTTTTCTGCATTTATTGCTTGCAAGTTGCACAGCTTGGATGAAAAAAAACTTTGACTTCACCTCAGATCAGCAGTTAGGAGTTAAAAGTTTGGAGGTCCAGGATCCGCAAATTAAGGTTTGAATGGATAAAGCAGGCTGCAATTAAGCTTCCCACAACCTAAACCTCAACTTTTGTTAATCATTTAAACATTTGTAGTTCAAGAAAATGTCGTAGGAAATCGCACTGGAGTTGACATACTGAACATAATAGCTTCCACTCATCTTTCTGTCAAATTGTGACTGATTCTGCTTTTGTCATGCTGAACCAAATCTCTCTGTTCTGCAGTCCAAGTTCTCCAGAAAAGGATTCATCAGAACTCGATGGTCCCTGGCTGACTGGTGAGTTTTATTAACAGGTCTCTACACCTACACGTCCCACCCACCTCATCACCGTTCAACCCTGAATCATCACGACTCTATCTGTGTGATTAGAGACGGAGATCCAGATATGTCAGTCATGTCTGATGTCTCTCACAAGCGGCAGGTTAGAATTAGAGAGTTCTTAACTGGCTGTACCCTCTCTGTGGACCAGGCCCCACAGTAGGAGGCCAGGATTTGATTAGACCTAATCCCCTTAGTCAAGCAGCTGCATATGACAGATGACAGAAAACATTAGATGCAATTGAACCTGCACGGCATGAATAGAAACGCTGCTCTCAGTGTGCAGAGTTGGGGGGCTGAGGGGGGAAGAAGGGGATTGTAATCTAATAGAGGGATGACATGAGGACTAAAGAGCTGAAACGGTAAGCATTTAATAGGGGCATGACGTTTGACAGGAGCAGTAGAGAGCGGGGAGGCTGCTGAAGAATAGGAGATCAGATCTGGGACGGGATAGACACGTATTGTTTAAGCCATGAATGTTGTCATTTGTTCAGGATGTCACTGCAGAATAAACCTTGTGAGATAGGATCAATTCCTCTGGGCCGCCCCGCTGAGCTCCACGCTGATAAAATCAGCGGGGAGGTGTTCATCACTGCACACTGAGTCGCCTTGCTCTCCTTGAACAGGACAGGGTGAAATATAGCCAATCAGGGTTTAGGAACATCACACTTTTCTGGAAACTGTGCACAAGTGTCTTTCCTCCTAAATACTGGTTGTTGTTCATCTTCTGCTTTAAAGGAAATTCCCTAACTAAGTCTTTCCGCCCACAGTGCCTTCGATCTGGTCAACATCCACCTTTTCCATGACGCGAACAACGTTGTGGCCTGGGAGGAAAGTCCTTCCTCTTATTCTGGGATGAGGCAGAAGGCGCTGCGCTTTGTTTTAGACAGGTAACTGATGTAAAGGAAAGCTTTGTGTTCACGTCTTTAATCCTTCTCTCCCCAATTCTTTCCTGAGAAGAACTAACAATTTAAAAAACACTTCATAATGTATATTTATTAAATGACTATGAGACATGACAACAGTTTTACAGAAATAAGAATCTGAAAAACTCACATGGAGAGAAAAGACAATAATAAGAAATGTATTGATACAATTCCTTGGTCTTTGGCACTCAGGCCTCGACAAGAAACATTGCGCTGAATTTTGATAGATATGCATGAACAGGGAACAAGAATAGGGCTGTTTCCCCCCAGGCCTGAAACAGGTGGTGGAGTGGAGATGAAGTTAGTCAGTCTGTAAACTGCTGGTTAGCGAGACGGTATGCTGAGCTTTATGGGGAGATCCAGTGGAATGCGTGAGCTGATACTAGAGCTTCACTTAGGGACCTGGAAGATGGAAGTCCAGTTGGATAACACAGGTTGAGAGAACCTGTCCATAATGAGCAAGCATGAAGCGACAGTGGAGAGGAAAAACTCCCCACTGGCAGAACCAGGCTGGTCTTCTGCCGTAGTGGTTGAAATGAGACATGGAATGCAGTAAGAGTCTGGCAGGAATGAAGCTCTGATGAAGTTTTAGCTACAATGGTGGAGGAGGGGCTGGAGGTGGGTTGAAACGGGGTCATCTGAATGAAGTCACAGCGCATCCACCGACTGCACACTAGGTAGCAGACGAGTTGCGGATTGGAGGCCTTTTAAGACGAACTTTTGGTATGCTGATAATAGTTAAAGAAGTATTTTATACATCTTGAGTGCCGCGCCCTTGCCACATCATCACATGTCACATTATTACATCACACATGTTTGCAAATGAGGAGACATCACTGGCTTCAGCCACATTAAGACAGTGTTTTAGATCAAGAACATTCAGAATGCACAGTGACAAGGAGCAGAGTTTTCCACTCCGACTCTGCTCCCATTTCATTCCCAAATCTTTATGTACATAATGAAGATGATAACTGTTTATCCTGACAGAACTGTCCTAGTTAGATAAACTGCTTGAGAAAACATTAGCCTTAACACACAACAGGCAGTTTTTAGGGTTTAACAAGCACATATATAAATAATTGAAAATAATCCTGACACCGACCAGCTTTAACGTGCAGTCAATGGTATTAGCAGCAACTTTCACTGGGCAGAAAGTCATAAACCAGGAAGTTAATCCTAAATTAATCATTCTGCCCTCATTTATTTAAGATGTGAAATTGAAAACTGATTCATTATCATTATGCATGATCTATAATAAGAAACATGCCAATAGAAATGTATTTGTAGTAGAGTAGACTGTCATATAGGTTTTTTTATTTATTTATTTTTTTTTACTTTTGTAGCTGTACAGCTTAAAATTGAGCCAAAAATTCAAGGTCTTCCTTTATTCATGATGTTTGTGACTAAAAGCATAAATTTACTTTAATTTTATTCTTTAGTTATTTCTTAGAATATTATTATAACGCTATAATCTTAGGAAACAGGATATAAAAATTTAGGCCAATTTAACATATACAGATATTTTACAAGTTAACATGGCAAGAAAAACAAAATATTTTATAAATTTGATTAGTGTTTTTTTTTTTTCCTGTTTTGGATGATTTGTCTTTTTTTTAAATTAACTAACGATTTGGTATGATCTTAACCTTATTTATATTTAAAGTCCGAGGAAGCATGTTTCATTAATCATGTATTTTAAATTTCCAGATCCTTTCCTTTGTGTCAATGAGGCACAGTCTATGCTACCCGTCCAATAGGTCAATCTGAGTAGCTCCAAACTATTCTGAGACCCACTAACAGACACCTAGCCTCAGTAATAGCTATCGGTTTTACATCGGCTTATTTAGCAGAGAATTAACAGCTATAGATGATGACTGCTAATATGACTGCCTCTAGAAGACTAAGTCTAGTTATGCTCCATGCTTAGAGACTCCCTTTCATTTGGTGTACTTGATAAGATGAAGCATCAGGTCTGTTTTTAAACTAGGCATGCTTTATGAAAGTACATGATGAAGATTGTCGATGTTATTGGTGTTGTTGAAATGACTCCAGTATTCAGCAAGAAGCCTCTATTCAAACAGGCCACCCTCCCCACTCCTGGTCCACGCTAATGTGATTTATGGCGTATCCATTTGGAGCGGAGCGGGATGATGGAGTGTACGCTGCCACCCCTGCTCCCTACCTGGCCATGCTAACACAGAATAAAAGCCCGGTACCAGGCTCCCAGACGGTGACCTCCCATTCAAATGCTATAAGAATGCATGACGCGGCTCCCCTCCACCTCCGCTTTGAATAACTACCTACATGCATATATGGGTGGAATACATCACCATATTTCCGTGGTCACTTTCAGATGCGTCTGTATTATGAGGTGCTTTCTAATCTCTCTGAGGTGACATTTAGCCTGCGCTTCTTTGTTGATTTAATAAATGAATGCCTTTAATGGACAGGGAAGTGGGAGTGTTTACAGAATATAGCAGCTTTTGCAGTTTTTATTACACAGTAATTCACCTGACATAAGGTTTTTAAAAGGACATCTGTTGTTGCTCTCCTTGAAGTGTTTGCCTCATATTTTCACAGCTTACGTCATGCTTTTTCTGTGTTTTCCTTTTTAGTGCCGTAGTACATAAATCTTTAAAGAAAATACTTAATGTTTGGTTTTGTGGATGAATTTTCAAAGAAGAAGGGGAAAGCGGTCTGAGACAAGGAGGCAGTGGGAATGTCTTCCCGTCTTCTTTCCTAGTTTCAGTGCCTCAGCCTGCAAAATAAACAAAAATACTGTAATATAGTTTTTTTCAGAATTCATTTTTTGTTTAATTTATGAAATAATTTAAATAAAACAAGACCATAAAATAATATTCCTTCCATCCATCCATCCATCCATCCATCCATCCATCCATCCATCCATCCATCCATCCATCCACCCATCCACCCATCCACCCATCCATCCATCCATCCATCCATCCATCCATCCACCCATCCATCCATCCATGCATCCATCCACCCATCCATCCATCCATCCATCCATCCATCCATCCATCCATCCCTGTAGTTTCTCTGCAGTCTTTATGTCCATTTTTTGAAGCAAAGCAAAATAAGCAAAGGATGCCTTCCAAGCAGCTCCTTGCTTTCCCCACACACCACTTCAGGGTGCAGTTCAGTGCTTTTTTGATGTGACTCAATAGACGGCTGTGGCCAGCTAAACGCCTTTCCTTCTCAGCATTGTTCCCCAGAGGCCTTGAAGTACTTTGGAGATAAACACTGTTTAGCAGTTAAAAGGGCCACTGAGGAAAAGCCTTATCAGATGTGTTCTCAATGGGCTATAAGCAGTATTATTAAGCCAGACACACAGATAAGGTGCAGGTTGAAGCTTGATGCCCGGCTGCAGAGCTCGGTCCAAGCACCGACATGTGATCGCGGTATGATCCCCTCCCATGTCAAAGTGAGAGATTAGGCCTTGGAGTGGAGAGAAACAGAGAGAGAGAGAAAGCAAGTAGGGAGAAAGAAAAAGGTGGGGGGACTGGCTTTAGGTATTCCCCCTGTCCCTTTTCCTGCTTTCCTTCTGGGGGTAGGAGTCAGAGTTAGGACAATAGCCAAAAAGATGGTTCCCAACCAGCCGTTGAATGGAAACACTGTTGGTGGTAGCGCCTCATTCAAAGCCCAGCCCTGGAACATTGTCCTCCCAGATCGGCGGAGTAGAATGGAGTTTGCTGGTGGCTGCCAAAAGGTTAGCAGCTTCTGTGAAAGGACCGAGCCATTATTCACTGCCCTTTACAGAAGCCGAGCAGCCTTTGTGCTCCACCTCCTCTTCCTTCTGAAAACCATCAGCTTTTTCTCACTCCGGTGCTCCGGATCTGCGGACGACAGCTTCCCAAAAAGTGAGCAAGCATGAAGTGCTGCACCCACCATCATTTCCTAGCATCAATCCTGATGAATTACAGTATTGGTGCACATTTTTGGATGAATTTTTTGTGTAAATTTTCAAAATAATAATTTAATTTTATCCCATTATAGATTCCCAGTATAATCTCTAAGGGCGGAGGGGACAATGAAATTAATTTAACTCATCACTTCATTATGCATTTGGTTGTTTTCAATGAAGTCATCATGAAAATTAGACCGGGAGTTTTTTTCCCCACATTTTTCGATTCATTTTTGAAACTGTGTTGTAATATGGCTTAAAAAAATCAGATTTTTTTCTAAAAAATCTGATCAGTCAATTTTTCTTCTTCATTCACTTTAATGATTTAAAAAAATGAAATCACAAAATACATAACTTTGAAAAACTTATTTTAATTTGAAAATCTTAATTTCACTCATCCCCTCTGGGAGGCAACCTTTCTTGGATTGGTAATGAAATTCAAGAGATTTCACAAAAAAACTAAGAAAATCACACAGTGAGCTAGTTTATGGGTTATGTGTAGATAAGATCAAAAAGAGATGAATTGATGTCGCTATGAGCTATGGATGCCCGAGAAGTCCATTGGTTGGGTAAAAAAAATACTGATTTTGATACATCTAGAAAATCCTGATCCGAGAATTTGATTAATCGATGTTATCCATTGATTACCAAGTTATGACAAAATATATAAAAAGAATTATGCAAGAACATGAAAAGGACGTCAGATATGCTTACCCCACATGTGAATATTGTTGACGTGTGTAACATGCAAAAAGACAATTATTCTTATTTCCACATTCCCACACAGGACCCTGCAAAAAAAAAAAAAAAAATAGGAAATGCATTTTTGGTCTAATCTTACATGGAACTTGTTGCCACCTTTGTTTTTAGAGACATCACCTTTTAAAGAAAAGGAAAAAAAAAAAGTAAACATCATAAAAATTTTCACCAAGCATAGCATAAAAAAAAAACTTATCTTTGAAAAAATCTTTTTGGCTTCAATGAGGCTGAAGCTCAGACTTCTCCGTTGCCTGGAAAACTTTGGCCTCTAAATGATAAAACC